GTTCATTTGGATATATAGAAATTGGTTTGGTGTATAATCTCTATTCCTTCTTGTTTGTAATGATTTAGTGTTTTTGTAACAGTCTGGACATGAGATTTTTATGGCCATTACAATTAACTGAAGCTTGTGATCATAGGCTAGCATGACTCTGGATTCTCAAAGGAATTACTAAATTCGATAAAATCGAAATGATACTTTGTGTTGTCTATGTATACTCATAAACCATCTCAGAACAGTTTCTTGCAATTTTTTGGGCAAGACTTTCTTTCTGTTTATCGTTTTCTTACTATTCTTTTGGTAGGTTGTCAGAATGTCATATTCATGTTATATTTTGAATGTTTGTGGTGGCCAATCCTTTTCTTTAATCTTAATTTGCATGACTTCAATTATCTTGCATAGTTGCTAACCTTAAAAACTTAATTACTTTTGTAATAATAAGAAGAAGAAATAATCCGAAATCGACATAAATTAATTTCTTTTCAAATTTTTACCTCCGATGTAGATTGTCGAAAGAGATGCATAATTCGACTACCCTTTTCGCAGTTATAAAATATCATGAACAATAAATACTCTTAAACCTTAATACCTCCTCAAACTTGCTATCAAGACAATTCTATTTATTAGTTTTTCTTGAATTTGTGTACCCTGTTTATCTAAATCACAGTTAACTAGTTTTCTGCAGGTATAGGTTTAAACTTTATAGTACTGCATCTTTTAGTATATGTGTAAAATGGCCAACATTGCAATTTAAAACCCTTTAGATGCCGTTTGTTGTTGGGATGCTATTATTTCTGCTTTTGCTGTACTTTTTTTCACTTTTTTTTGTTCATAATCTGTGCAAACAAACAGGTTAAGATGGATAAGAGGAGTTGGCCTTGGAAGAAGAAGTTGTCTGATAAGCAAGGAGCTGATAAAGCAGCTGCTTCAGAATTGGATGCAGCTCTAGCCGAAAAGGTCTGCAAATATTCGTCATTTTTAGAAATTGTTTTCAGTTTAGCTTTTCGGACGTATTAAAATATATTTTTAGTTATGTCAATATCTTTTTTCAAGTTTGTTGTATTGTGTAGATGTTGTACAATGCAGATTAGGAAGTTCATCTCCATTTTTTTGCTTATCATCTTACTTTATTTTATGAACTTTATTTGATTTCCTAAATCCTTAAACAGGAAAAACAAGAAGCCAGTAAAAAGCCAAAGTATGTCCAAATCTCCATGGAATCATACACCCATCTAATCGGACTTCAAGATCAAGTCAAGTTGTACGAAGAGCAAGTCCAGAGCTTAGAGGATGAAGTAAAAGAGATGACCCAAAAACTCTCCTTAGCCAACACCGAAATGACTAACAAAGAAAATCTCGTCAAACAACACGTCAAGGTCGCCGAGGAAGCTGTCTCAGGTAATAAATCAGAACTTCAAAAAAGTTACTAAAAAAAAAAAAGAGAAAAGTTAACAGTTTTATGCATTTCCTTCATTCAGGTTGGGAAAAGGCAGAAGCTGAAGCCGCAGCTTTGAAAACCCACCTCGAATCTGTCACGCTGCTGAAGCTCACGGCCGAGGAGCGTGGGTCCCACCTGGACGGGGCTCTAAAAGAGTGCATGCGCCAAATACGCAATTTAAAAGACGACCACGAAAAAAAACTGCAGGACCTAATCCTGAGCAAGCAGAATCTTTTCGACAAGACGAAGCTCGACATGGAATCCCGCATCGCTGACCTGGACCGAGACCTGGTGATGTCAGCAGCCGAAAACGCCGCGCTCTCGAACGCGCTCGTCCAGCTCAGCGAAGAGAAATCTCGAGCCGAGGCAGAGATCGAGACACTCGAGAGGAAAATCGAGTCGTGTGAGAAGGAAGTGAGCTCGCTCAAATACGAGCTTTATGTTGCGCAGAAGGAAGTCGAGATTCGGAATGAAGAGAAGAACATGAGCGTTCGGTCTGCTGAGGTGGCGAACCGTCAGCATCTCGAGGGGGCGAAGAAGATCGCGAAGCTCGAGGCCGAGTGCCAGAGGCTTCGTGGGCTTGTGAGGAAGAAGTTGCCAGGCCCAGCTGCCCTTGCCCAGATGAAGCTCGAGGTTCAGAGTCTGGGCCCAAACTCGGCCCATTTTCCTGAGTTCGGTTCACAAAAGTATCTCAAGGAGAATGAGCTTCTTACGGAACGTTTGCTTGCAACGGAGGAAGAAATGAAGATGCTTAAGGAGGCTCTTGCAAAGCGTAACAGCGAGCTGCAGGCTTCTAGAAGCTTGTACGCGAAATTGGAAGCAGAAATTCAGGCGAGTGGCGAGCAGAAGAGTGAAAAGAATGTGGATAGTCCGAACAAGTCTGAATATGCGAGTAGAAGTAATGATCTTGACCTGATGGATGATTTTGTGGAGATGGAGAAGTTGGCTTATTTGTCGAATGTGGATTTGGATAATAATAGTAATACTGGCAAAAGTGGGCCCGAGCTTTTGAATAATGAAGTTCTGGTTAAGCTCTTTGTCGAACTGCAGTCGAAGATATCCATGGTACTCGACTCGATTTCTCATGAAAAAGAGAGGGAAAAAGTTGCAGAGGACATTAGACGTGTGGTGCATGATTTGCATGAAACTATGAGATTCCAAACGGTTTGTGTCAGTCAAGAATTACAAACTGCCATCGATCATATTTACAATTTCATAACAATTCTAGGGAAAGAAGCTAAGGCTACTGTCCCCGGAGGACTGAGCGAAAAACTCGACACTTTCACTGCCAAGTACAGTGAAGAGGCCAAATATAGCGAGATTAATTCAAATGAATTTGTTCTGGACATATCTGGTGTGCTGAATAAGGCGAGCGAGCTCCATTTCAACGTATTGGGATTCAGAGGCTCTGAAGTGGAAACTGGCAATTCGGATTGTATAGACAAGATTGTTCTCCCAGAGAACAAACCCGTTTCAAATTCTTTAGAAAAGCTATATTCGTCAAACAGCTGTGCCCGTTTTTCAGATTCATCATCCGATGAAGGGAATCTTGTCCCGATTTCTGAGTCAACAGCTGCCCCATGTAAGTGGTCAATGGAGGAGTTTGACCAGTTGAAAACGGACAAAAATAACCTTGCGGATGAGCTTGCTCGATGCATGGAGAATTTTGAGAGTACGAGGTCTCAGTTGCTAGAAACAGAACGGGTTTTGGGTGAGGTGAGGTCACGGTTGACTTTGGCTGAGAAGTCAAACAGTTTGGCCGAGACACAGCTCAAATGCATGGCCGAGTCTTACGAATCACTTGAAACGCATGCGGATGAACTGAAGCATGAAGTAAGTGTCCTTCAAGGGAAGATAGAAAGTTTGGAAGGTGAGTTAACAAAAGAGAAAAAGTGTCACGAGGAGGCAGTTAAAAGATGCAAAGATCTTCAAGGGCAGCTCGAAAGGTTTTTCTATTAACCAACTCTCTTTTCTCTTTGCAGTTGTCTCGATTGTACTTGATTTCTGAATTGTCTGGTTCAAATAGTCTTAACCTGTTTTTCTATTAACTCTCCTTTCTCCTAGTGTGATTAATCCTATCTCATTATTCTTGTCAGGATTGATTATTCAGTAGCAGCTGAGAATGATGACAAAACTAGCCAGGTGAGGCTTTTTACATATAATAATAATTAACCACCTGTTATCATGCACATCTTATTTGTTAATTTATTTGATCATTGGACCTTCATTCAGAACTTCTTCTATTTTTTTTGCACTTTTCCTTTACTTTTTTTTTTCCTGTCCTGTTAAAACTAATTACAAAGTCTCTGTAAAGCTAATCACTTTCTTTCTTTCTTTCTGTATGCAGGAGAAAGAGCTAGCAGCTGCAGCTGAAAAGCTGGCCGAGTGTCAACAAACTATTTTCCTTCTCGGCAAACAGCTTAAGGCCCTTCGTCCACAAACCGAGACCTTAACTCCTCTAAACAACGCAAGAAGTGAAAATGTTTTTCGGGAGGAACCAACCATAAGTGGCACTGAAAATTTGCAAGAATTTACCGAATTATCTGAACCTGATACTTCCCATTTACATACAGCTGGATCTGAGTCTCCCATGAACCCATTCAACTCCACATATACTCAATCAAACTCCGAAGCTAACAACTTTATGAGATCACCAATTAGCTCAAAGTACCCTAAACACCGCCCCACAAAATCGGGCTCGTTTACCAGATTCTTTTCCACCAAAGGGAAAAATTAGCCCTTTAACGTACTCCGATTAAAAAGAAGAAGAAAAAAAGAAATGATGAATTGGTTGAACTAGCTTTACAGTTATTTTTTGTTTTATTATTGATGAAAATATGCATCGTTTTCGATTTGCTATATTGTCATACTTGTAATTTGGTGTTTAGAAGTGTCTGTAGGTTAAAACTGCATGCTGTGAAGGCATTGGATACTGTTTGATTTGTAGAGAAACTTCATTTTCTGGTGTAGTAGTTTCATAGTGTTGGAGTTGGTGTTAGATTTATGTAAGGTATTACTGTACTGTTATAATTTCATGAAGGTATTGTACCTATTATTTGTTATTTTATTGATTTGTTTTTATTCTTCCTCACATGAGATGTTTTATTTGTAGGTCACTTCAATTTGTTTCTCGGAAATTTTTATCTCTCCTACACCTTCTGTCTTTGATTGCATCTATACTACCTATATAAAATATATTACATTAATACCTAATTCTACCAAAATAATTAGTATTAGCCATGAAAAAAAAAACANACAACGGTCATATCCCTTTAGTTTGTCTAACTGATTAGACTACATTTGCCATGATTTTCGGCTACCAAAAATAATAACTGGCTTTCCCCTTAAATAGGGTAACTGATTTGCATCAGTTAAAATTTTTTTTAAAAAAATAGTATAATCAGTATAACAAACTCTCGATAAATTTAGTATGCACAAAGAATTCAAATTTGAAGTTCAAACGCCAATTGATCGTCAGTTGAAATATATTGGCCGCTGAATATTTTCAATATATGTTGTGTTTATAATCAATATATTTTTAGTATATTTATCTAACCACAATTGTGTTTGAATTTTATTCTGAAAAAAAGTTCCAAAAAATATAAAGACATACTAAGGTTTATATACATCACGTATATGTTAGGTTATATACATCATGTATATGTTGCGTTACGTAACTTTTACTGACTCAAATGGCCTATTTCGCATGCAGCTCTTGAACAACAATCAGTCAGTATATTTTCAGTATATGTTGCGTTTTTATTTACATAATTTTTACCAACTGTTGAACAACACACGATAGAACTACAAAATAAAAATGAAACAAAAAACATTAATATAAATATCGACAAACAACATAAACAATGAGTAAAAAAAATAAAAATTGCTCATTTGTCATCTCATATCAATTTCTTCATAAAAAAAATCTGCAAAAATAACTAACGTAAACTGTAAATATACATCAAATAAACATTGAAAACTGATCCGATCGAAACTATTTGCATGCCGACGACTCGAAAACTCCACCACCAACAGCGGTTGACCAGGACTCCGACCAGTATATTTTACGTTCACGACAAACTGTACATATACTATACATATACTGTACATATATTGTACATATATCATGTCGAATGTCATATGTCCTGTAATATGCAGTGAACTCCTTGGAAGTATACTCGCTTCCATTATCAGATCGGAGATATTTCAGCTTATTTCCTATTTCACGTTCCACCATGACGTGAAATGACTTGAAGTACTTAAACACATGGTCCTTCGTATTCAGGAAATATACCCACACATTTCGAGAAGCATCATCAATGAAAGTCAGAAAATATCTGCATCCACCCAGTGATTCAACCTCCATGGGAACGCAAACATCAGAGTGTACCAATCTTAACAACTCTGATCTCTTTGTTGAATTGACATTGAATGAGACTCTATGTTGCTTGCCGAACAGGCAATGACTGCAAGAACCCAATGCAGCACTCTTATCAAGGTTGATAAGATCCTTTTTTATCAGGGTAGTCAACCCTTTCTCACTCATATGGCCAAGTCTCTGGTGCCATAGATCTTGAGAAACCTCCTCTGCAATATTGATACTTTCTGTACTAATCTTCAAGTGTGTTTTGTACAGCGTCCCACAAACATGTCCTTGGTCAATTTTCAGAACACCCTTTGATAACTTTCATGTGCCTGCACCAAAGTGATTTTGATATCCTTCTTTGTCAAGAGCCACCACTGACAAAAGATTTAGCCTAAGATCCGACACATGTCTAACATCCTTCAATAGGATTGTACACTTGGTTCCTGTCGTTGCCTGGATATCACCAATTTCGATAATTTCAGAGGAACTGGAATTTCCCATCTTCACCGATCCAAAGTCTCCAGCTTGGTACGTTGTGAAATATTTCCTGTTAGGAGTAACGTGATAGGATGCTGCAGTATCTACCACCCATTCCATGTCTTCTCTTGAGACATGAAGGCATGTCTTACAATGAGCAGAGCAATATGCGACATCACCTGAGACAGTGATGAGAGTTTCACCACCCTTGCCCTTGTTCTTCTGTTGAGAACTATTCTTCGGCTGAGAATTGCTCTTGCCCTGCTCCTCGAGCCGTTTATAACAATTCTTCTTCATATAACCTTCTAGACCACAATGATAGCACACGTGTGATCTCCAATCATCTGATTGCCTCCCCTTGCTTCTACCCCTGCTTTTCCCTCTACCACTTCTTTGTTGCTTGCCTTGTGGTCTTCCTCGATTCTTCATTACAAGGGTATGAGTCTGATCTGTGCCCATGTCTTTCCTTCTAGCCTCTTCATTGACTAAGGTATCCTTGACAACGGACATGGAATGTTTACCGTTTGAGGCTGAATTGCTGATAGCAACAACGATTGTTTCCCAGCTATCAGGAAGAGAACTAAGAAGTAGCAAACATTGCATTTCATCTCCAAGCGGTATCTCCACACAAGATAGCCGATTTACCAGGCTTTGGAACTCACAAATATGCTCGGCAACCGAAGTTCCACTTTCAACTTCATATTGACTAAGTGCCTCATCGATAAGGCCTTATTCCGAGCGGTCTTGGCCTTGTACATGTTCTCTAGCTTCTTCCAAAGGTCATATGCGTCGGTTTCTTGTGCAACATGATGAAAGACACTATGATACATCCATTGTCGGATTTGACCAATAGTTTTTCTATTGATTTTCTTCCATTCTAACGCCTTGGACGGATCAGGGTTAATACCCTTCAGCTCTATTGGGTCAAGAGCTCTTTACAGCTGAGGAAATCTTCCATCCGAGGTTTCCACAATGTATAATTGGTAGCCGTGCGCATAATCATAGCTCCAGAAGATAAAGTTGACTCTTCCATGATCATTTCACACCTTCAATGATTTGTTTGGGACAAATCGGAGCTGTATTTTGAAAAATAGACAACACCGTCGCGTCCGATCAGTCGAAAATGGGGTTGGGCAATTTTTATTTTTTTTACTGTGATGACTTGGCAGTTGACTGGGGTCCACCTACTGATGTGGCAGATGACTGGGCTGCTGGCGTGGCAGATGATTGGGCCTCCTTGTTGACGTGTCGATGACGTGTCAGATGGTGTGGTGACACGTCAACATCTTTTTTTTTTTTTTTTAAAGAATTTCCGAAGGCTATTCCGGACAGCTCCGGTGTCCGTTTTTCACCCGTAAAATACCACCGAGACCGTAGCGACGAGAAGAATCTAACGGTGTCCTCAAAATTGAATTTCGAGCACAACTCAAAAACTCAAAATTTCTGCAGAATCTCGAAAATTTTCAAAATTAAGCTCGAAAAGCTTCAAACAAAGCTCTGATACCACTTGTTGTGGTATCAACCCAAGATCATAATCATAATTGAGAGAAAAACAAGTTTCTATTACTCATAAGAATAAAAACAAGAGATTTACAAACTCAAAAAAAAAAAAAACTCTCAAACTCTCCACAACTCTACTTGGTTGTATTTCAACACTCTCAAGGTTGATTGATCACACTCTAAGATGATTTAAACGAATGAAATTAGCAGCCTACTTATAGATACAAGCAAGCACACCATTGTTGACAAATGATGTGTGAAAGAAGAAGGTTGGTGGAGGCAGCCATTGAAAACTTCTTCATTTGTGCGTTGCAGCTTGCATGGAACTTTCACTGGCCAGAAAATCTCCAACAAGGTCAGGGCCAACAGACTCCTCTAATAGCCAACAATGCCATTGTCGAAGGATCTACTTTCAACTCATACCCATTGACATAACCACATTCAGAGTAAGACTCTAATATTTGTGACAATGCTGCTAATCTATTGTGTGGCCAAACCTAACAATTGTTTTTAAATTTTAATATTGTACGACTTTTATCTTTCAACTGTATTCTACGTAAAATGAAATTTTGGCGTTAAGTTGGATTTCATTCTAGTTCCAATATCTCATAAGTCATTTTTACATTAGAAGAACAAATAGTAGCAAGAGAATTATATATTAAAATCGGTATTGAATCAACAACATACTTTTGCAACATAATATATGATTTAATTATAAACTAATTATGTACTTAATTATAATGAAAATTGGGCCGGCTGTGCACATGAACAAACTAGTAGAAAATTATATAAAATTTTTTTTTTCGAACTTTAACAAGTCGGCTCGTTAACCAATACTAGTATGAATCCCGTACAGTGCACGGGTAAAAGATATTTTTTTATTAAATGATATTTATAAATTAAAAATATGGAATCAATATGTAATACAATTTACCTGTATTCATTTAATGAAAATGTTATATAAAGTTTAAATTGTGCAAAATTACATAAAAATTGTATATGTAAAATTAGTACACAACACGTGCGGTGCACATATCTGATAATAAATTACAGTATATTCATTTCAAAATAAGTGTTATTTTAAAATTTTTATTCAGAAATTCAATTTGACCATAATATGATTCTATAAGATAGTTATTTTGGTAAAATTTTATCATAAATTTAACAACATATGTGAAGAATAAGTATAAATATAAAATTTATATTGTTTCATTAATTAAAATAAATTTATTTTTGTATAAACTATTCAAATAAAAAAAATTAAGTAGTTGAGTAATTTATTAAACCATAAATAATTGACTATTTCGTTTACATCTAAGTTAATATTGACCCATAAGTTATTGAGTAATTTTTTAAAATATAAATGATTGACTATTCCGTTTACGACTAAATTAATATTGACCCATAAGTTATGAATAATTATTTTTTTTTATTTTTAATTTGAAATAAAAAACTTTTTATTTTTCTAATATATTATATACTAAATTTAAATCATGCAACTAATAAAGGTAATAGCCGTAATATTTGACCAAAATGATTCTATACATTAATTACATTAATTTAGGCGGAATTTTTCAAACTCTGGCGAAAAAGATTACTCAATATAGTAAATATTTAGGCGGGAAATCAAATTCTGATTTTTAGTTGCTTATTTCAACTAAATATCATTGTCTCTTTATATATTAGTAGATTTATGTTTTCAACCCTACTTACGAAAATCCAACTCGCTCTCCACATCCAAGACTCGCCATTATACAGATGTACACTCCTCTCCGTAGTTTCTTGTTCATCATCTCTCGTCCGATCGTTAGAGGTGAGTCTTTTGTGTTTCTTATGTGATGACTGATATTTGTTTATCAATTCTTTTTAGTTTATTTTGAAGATGAAGACAACAAAAATATCATTCGGATTTGTGATGGAAATAAGGATGTTTAGAATATTTAATTTAATTATTTATTTCCATCTTTCTTATTATGATTATTAATAGTATTATAGATTTTGTAGGAAATTTATTTATTTAATTACTTTGTTATGATTCTTGTGTTATTGGAAGTTAGTATTAGGATTTGATAATCTATCATTATATAAAAAGAATAACCTTTTTACAAATTTAGAAACTTTTTCCCGCCAAAATCATTAAATATATCCTACATATAGTAATTGTTGGACAAACTTGAATAGACAAAAAAATCGGTTCATTAATTGTGTAAAAAATTGTTTCTTTTTTTCATGTTTTTTAGTTTATCAAAACCGTTGTTTGACAATAAATATTTGTTTTTCTTTTTTCTATTTTTAATATAAATCTACACGAGCTTATCTCTTTTGTTACAAAATCTCATTGCATAAGTCTCACGTCTCATCCTTTATCTATAGAGATTTGAAAAAATAAAATAAAATAGAAACCAATTCATAATTACTACTAGAAATTCATTATCTACCTTAAGAAGCTAATTTTCATCGGTCTAATTACTAATATTTTTACAAATATTATAAGCTAACCATACAAAAAAGTATAATAATAATTTTGAAATGGTATGTGATTAAAATTTTATATATTCTCTTATACAAAATAATTTTACATTGTTTGATCCCGAATCTTTAATTTATAATTATTAAATATTTTTTATCCTCCTCTTTAATTTATAATTATTTTTTTTCTTCCTCTTTTTAAATAGGATCAATAGTAGTTTCCACTTCCGCCGTTGAGTGACTCAAACTCGAGGACTATTTATAATATTGTTAATTTAATATTGTTCCCGTGCATCGCACGGGGTACACACTAGTTATTGTGACGAGTTAGTATTAGCGTTTGATAGCCTTATTTAAAGACTCATCGTCTTTGCTTGCCTGCTTGTGATTTTTGCAGGATTTTCTTAAAAACAAAATTGTGGGAGTCAATTCATTAGTCGAAATAACGGGAAACATAGTCTGATGGGGAGAATGAAGCCAAACACCTGTGACGATGAGAGTGGCCCGGCGGTGGCAGCTGGCGGAGGTAAATCGAAGAAGAAGGGTTTTGTAATTGCAGATGACGAGTATTCTATTGGAACTGAATCTCGGAGGATGCTGTTGTACCCAAAGAGAGAGTGGCGCTGCCAGTTGGCAACAAAAAGAAGGGAAAGAAAGGAGTTACCAAGAAAACAGCTCCCAAGGACGAGGATGAAGATGTGAACGATAATGAGGTCAGGGAAGAGGAAGCGGATGGGGAAGATGTTCCTGCCATCAAGTTTGGTGGGAAAAAGAAGGCTAAGGGGAAGAAGGGCAGCGTGTTTAGTGCTTCGGCATTTGGATTGTTGGGAGATGATGAAGATGGGGAGTGATGATGAGGCGAAGGATAATGGTGACGAGGATGAAGAAGCAGATGAGCCGGTGATTGAATTTTCTGGAAAGAAGAAGCCTTCAAAGAGTAAGAAGGGCAGTGGCGGTGGATCTTCTGCATTCGAGTTGCTCGACAATGATGAGGATGAAGAGGGTAGGGACAAAGAGGAGAGTTCTAAGGAGGAAGAAGAGGATGCTGGCATTACATTTACGTGTAAGAAGAAGAAGAAGTCATCAAAGGGTTCGAAGAAGGTTTCTGGCAACTCTTTTGCGGATGAAGAAAATGATGAGGATGCTTCCGTTTCAAAAATTAGGGATGATACGGCAGAAGGTGATGATGATGACCAGGAGCAAGATGTCTTGGTAGTTAAATTTTTGGGTAAGAAGTCGTGTAAAAAGAAGAACATGCCTTCTGAAATTGGGAGTGGTGATGCAACCTCTGATTCCCTTGAACCGAGTCAACACACTGATGAACCTAAAACTCAGAAGCAGACGAATGAAGCTGTTGCGGATACTAGGAAGAAGAAAAAGAAGGGTGGGAAAACTGGTCAAGAAGAAGATGACTGGGATAAAATCCTCACTGAATTTGGTGCGGGACCTACCGAGTCTAAACATGTTTCAGCTTCTGTGGATGCTCCAACTGCACCTGAGGTCGAAGATGATGGGCCAGCGGAATCTGCAGCTGCAAAGAAGAAAAAAAAGAAGAAGGAAAAAGAATAAGAGAAAAAGGCAGCAGCTGCTGCCGCTGAAAAACAGAAAAGACCAAAGCCGAGGAAAGTAAATTGGCTGGGAAGAAAGTTCCAAAGCATGTTAGAGAGATGCAGGAGCGACTTGCCAAACAGAGAGAAGCTGAGGAGAAGAAAAAACGGGAAGAAGAGGAGCGATTGAGGAAAGAAGAGGAGGAAAGGCTTCGGAAGGAAGAGGAGGAAAGGACAGCAGAAGAGAAAAAGCGCTTAAAGAAAGAAAGGGAGAAGGAGAAGCTTCTGAAGAAAAAGCAAGAAGGGAAGCTTCTCACTGGGAAGCAGAAGGAAGCAGCTCTTAGGCTAGAGTCAATGAGGAAGCAAATACTAGCTAATGCTAACTTGCAAATATCCACAGGAGAAACTGTTGGGGCACCTGCCAAACGACCTCTATATCAGAAGAAAAGGCAAATGCCAGTAGCTCAATCAAACAGAGCAGCCACATCAGACAGTGTTGACAGTGCAGTTTCAGAGGAGAACCAGCAAGAAATTGTATCCAGACTGGATTCCGTGGAAAGCGAGAATGTTGAGGACGTTGCTTCAGCGACTGTAAAGGATAAAAATTATGGTTCTGATGTAGTTCAAGAGAATGTAGTGGATGAGGAGGAAGAAGAAGAAGATGATGATGACGAAGAATGGGATGCTAAAAGCTGGGATGATGCTGATCTGAAATTGCCAGGAAAAAGTGCATTTGCTGATGAAGAAGTTGACTCGGATGTTGAGGTACCGCACGTTGCAGCCAAGACAGTTGGTATAACTACGAATGTTGCTTCAGTGATTCCACAGAGATCTGAGAATGTGGACGTTAGAAAAAAGAACTCTGAGGCTGAGGATGCCCAACAGGAACAATAATAAGGTTCCTGTTCCTGAGAAGAAGGACAAAAAAGAAGTTGTTGAAAAGAGAGAGGAACGTCAAAAGTCAGATAATCAGCCTGCCCCGAGTGAGCAGAATTTGCGGTCCCCAATTTACTGTATTATGGGCCATGTTGATAGTGGTAAGACAAAATTGCTTGATTGTATAAGAGGTACTAATGTCCAAGAAGGTGAGGCTGGTGGGATTACACAGCAAATTGGAGCAACCTATTTCCCTGCTGAGAACATTCGTGAGAGAACAAAGGAACTCAATGCTGATGCAAGGCTGAATGTCCCATGTCTATTGGTGATTGATACACCTGGTCATGAATCCTTTACTAATATGCGTTCCAGAGGGTCAGGGTTATGTGATCTTGCGATTTTGCTAGTTGATATAATGCATGGGCTGGAACCACAAACCATTGAATCTCTCAATCTATTGAAGATGAGAAATACTGATTGCATTATAGCCTTGAATAAAGTAAGTCACCTTGGAGCCATTTGTTGCGTTCATGGCAATCCTTTTCTGATAATGTAATTTTGGTTTACCTTTCTGACTTGTAGGTGGACAGATTGTATGGATGGAAAACATGCCGCAATGCACCGATACGGAAAGCAATGAAGCAACAGACAAGAGATGTTAAGATTGAGTTTATTCATCGGCTTAAGACGGTATCATTTTTTGTTTTTTCTTTCGGACTTGAATATTAGCTCGTATGGTTGAAATTTATTTGATGGAAGTGTTATGCTTTTCATAGGTTAAAGATCAGTTACAGATTCAAGGTCTAAATACTGAGTTGTCTTACAAGAACCAAAAAATGGGTGAAACAGTATACATCGTCCCCACTAGTGCTATAAGGTTTTATTGACGAAGCACTGCCTTAGATAACTTTTTATTTGTTGTTTCCTATTTCTGTTCTCTTTAGTTCTTTAGAAGTCCCCCAATACTTCTCACATTTTGCTAATTATCACCAATAGTGGTGAAGGTGTCCCTGACTTGCTGTTGGTGCTGATTCCATGGGCACAGGAGGAGACAATGATTAAAAGACTTGCATACAGTAGTGAAGTGCAGGTATGCTGCCCTATTAGCTCATTGGTAGTGAGATTGTGAGGGAGGCAACCCTGTGAGATATTTTTGCTGATTTACAATGGTTTATGTTGCAGTGTACTGTCTTGGAGGTCAAATTTATTAAAGAACACGGGACAACAATTGATGTGGTTCTGGTGAATGGCGTGCTTCATGAAGGAGATCAAATAGTTGTTTGTGGCTTGCAGGCATGTTTTCGACGACTCTTTTTATTTTTTTATTTGTGAAAGGACGATAATCACGCTCATCCTGCTTTAAATCTCTTATAGGGACCAATTGTGACCACAATTAGAGCCTTATTAACACCACATCCGATGAAGGAGCTCCGAGTGAAGGTAAAACATTAAGATCATGCTAATAGTTTTGGTCATCCATGTATGTATTTTTCGCTAATATGTGTTTCTTTCGATCAAGTTCATTCCTGGTTGTAATTTTGTTAATGTAATTACGTGGATTTAGACATGAGTTATTAGAAAGGAGTCTCCTTCTCGTTCCCTCCCTTCCTTTGCTGGTAGTGAAGGGTGGGTGGATTGGGGGTTACTGTGAGCACTTGCTAAGATTTCTAGGGCCTCATTTTTTCCATTATACGGATTCTTTTGAGGAACATTGCATAGAAGCTTTGGAAGTGTTGAATTTACTTTTGACCTATCGTGTTCGTCTTTCTGGAAGCCAATGGTTAACAAAGATAGTTGATTTTGAAAAATGCTTTGATATGGATATTTAAATTATTTTATTTGCAACTTTCTATCCTGTTGTGATACAAACTATAACATACTTCTGGAATTGATCTCATAAGGTACTCTTACGAAGCCTTACATTCTTTCTGTGTAATGCCTCATGCTTTTGCCATTATCATGTTTCAGGGGTCTTATTTGCATCATAAAGAAATCAAGGTTGCGCAGGGTATCAAGATCACAGCCCAGGTGACCCTTTGCCGTTGATTATGCATTTATTGTCCTTACGAAGGCATGACCTTAATATTGACAATGTAGACATGATCACATGATATTGTTAATTACTAAATAAACGGCAAGATAACACACTGTCACCATGCTATTATGGGTTGCCCTTGATAGTTATGTACGATTGACTGAAGGTATATGATAATTTAACAGAAAAATGTCTTGTTCAGGAATGAAATATTCACTACTATTTGGAACTCTGTTTCCAGAACATTTTATAGACCTCATAGAAGTGTTCAGTATTATGTTTAGTATTAGGACTTATGTGAAATTTTTGTTTCCGTTGTGAATTGTGTTACTGCCATGTTTTCTGAGTAAGAAATTGTATTATTTTATTAGGATGTATAACGTTGTTTTTCAGTTGTCTCTTCTGCTAATTTTGCTTCAGTGTATGAGCTGGTGCCTGTGTTTTTATTATGTTTGTAGGGCCTTGAGCATACATCTGCAGGGAGGAAAACATCAAAGAAGCAGCTATGGAAGATATGAAGTCAGTAATTAGAATTGACAAAAGTGGTGAGGGGATCTATGTTCAAGCATCTACTCTTGGGTAGTTAGAAGCATTGCTGGAGTTCTTGAAAACTCCGGTAGTTAATATACCTGTCAGTGGCATAAGCATAGGGCCAGTACACAAGAAAGATGTAATGAAGGCGAGTGTGATGCTTGAGAAGAAAAAGGAATATGGGACAATATTGGCTTTTGATGTTAAAGTAACCCAAGAAGCTCAGAAGCTAGCTGATGAGCTTGGTGTAAAGATATTTATTGCGGAGATTATTTATCACTTATTCGATCAATTTAAGGCTTACATTGATAATCTCAAGGAAGAGAGGAAGAGAGAGGCTTCTGAGGAAGCAGTTTTTCCATGTGTCCTCAAGATAATGCCAAACTGTGTGTACAACAAGAAGGATCCCATTCTCTTGGGAGTTGATGTCCTTGAAGGCACAGTGAAGGTAATATGTTTTTTTAATCTCTGTACATGGATGTCCTTTGCATGGTTTTAACAATGGATATAATTTATTGGTGGTTGGCATCATAAGTTGCATATGTTTGGATTCAGTTTTTGATGGCTTTATTTCCAGAAACAAAACTAATTTGCATCATATCCTTCACTGCATTTCCATCCTGGTGCACTGTAGTTTCTAATATTTCTCAAGAGTACGTAATCAAATCACCCAAAACCAAATTCAAGTTTTCTTTTATTAGGTGTTGACATTGTGTAATGTTGAATATTAGGTGGTGACATTAAGTGTTTCTTTTGGTGATATGTTGAGTCATAAAAACCATGTATACAAGGATGCTTTTGTTCCAATGTTGTATACTGCTCCTCTCTGTGTCTCTTGTATGTTACCGTGTTCATGACATGTGTTATGCCCGCATGCTGATTTTTCTTTTTTCAGCAATGGGCATCTTTATATTTTTTGTTTGATATTTGAGGTGTGTAGAATTTCCTACTTCTGTCTTCTATCCATGTAACAATTTTCCATATATTTTATTCTCACAACTTTTGGTCTTTCCGGCCATTGCTATCATATATACGTTTCCTTTCTATTGAACTGTTATTTTTTAACCCATCGTACAGGTTTGGACTCCTATATGTGTTCCTCAAAAAGATTTCATTGAAATTGGTCGGATAGAGTCTATTGAGAATAATTACAAGCCTGTTGATTATGCCAAGAAGGGCCAGAAGGTGTCCATTAAGATATATATATATATGACTTTTTTGTGATGCTTAGTTGCCAAACTGCTTGTTCTTTATACTGTAGGAGATACGTTGAATTAACTGCCAATGAGTTACTTTTACAATCTCAGAAAAGGTTTTCTAACATAGTTTACTCTTCTTAGATGAATGAGAACATCTGTCGACTCCATCTTTCCATGTGCAACCATGGACAGTGGATACCACATGTTAAGATAATTTTTCTACTGGACCTTGGAGAACTTGCTCAACTCTATCTTCTTATTGTTTAGAATATCAAAGCATGGGATAAATACATCATTTTTGTTAGAGCCTTGATTTAGGGTGAATCAATCAATTTAACAGTGTGAATAGTGAAATTTTGAAGACTGGGTCTTTAAAGCTATGATATCAGTTGTGTCAGTCATCAATTTATACGTTTGTAAGAACATCCACCCTCCTTGTTATTACTCTGTTACTGATAGAAATTTATTCGCGCACAATGGCTCATTTCATTATTTATTCTATTTCTTTTTGTGTTGTCTTTTTTTTTGTAAATTATTATTTAACATAGATGTGCTATTTTTCCTCATAGATTATTGGCAGCAATCCTGAGGAACAACAGAAGATGTTTGGCAGGCATTTCAAGATGGAGGATGAGCTTGTGAGCAAAATCAGTAGAAGCTCACTTGACGCTCTCAAAGAAAATTACAAGGTTTGTCTATTTATAGTTCATGCATCTCATTGCTCACCATACATCATAAATACATAATTTGAAAACCACCCGTGATTTTTCGCCTAGTTGCGAAAGGTGTGTTTCATATTTGTTTTGCATATTACCAACTAGTGAGTAGCCCGTACGATGCATGGGTAAATAATAATAAATATTAATTATAAATAGGTCTTCAGTTCGAGTCACCCAATGAAAGAAGTGGGGAACTACTGTTATCCTCTTTTAAAATATTATAAAGACAATATTAAATACTACCTAAATAAATACATTATAAATATTTTGAGAGAAAATTTACCTAGTATATATAAAATAAATATTGACATGATAACGAGAATTATGATGGTACTCCCGAAAATTTGAGTACATAATATTTCAAAACTGTTATTCTTTTTCAAGTTGTTACCGTTAAAAAAATTTGTACTCCCCAAACTTTGAGTACATAATATTTCAAAATTGTTATTTTTTTTAAGTTGTTACCGTTTTTGTACGCACTTCCACGGGATTTTATTTATGCAAATTTATTAATTTTACAAATACAGATTCAGATTAATGTAAACTGTAACACATAAAATGGGATTTTATATATAACTGATAATAAGACAAAAATTATATAATATTTTAGATGTCTTTATATATATATATATATAAAGACATTTGTAGTATAATTATTTATTATATATATATATATATATTAAAGACATTTGTAGTATATAATGATACTTAGATAAATATTGATACACATATCAATCATCAATATTTCATATAAGATTTGTATCATTACATTTGGGCATTGAAAATCATCAGTCATAAGTATATCTGAAGCTAATCCGTTTCATATGTTCAAATCCTCATCCTTGTGCCTGTATTATATTTAGATGTGCCATATAGATGTTCACGAACACATTACTCGACCGCTCCCGGGTGTCATTTTCCCGAAGAAGGTGAATTTAGTGAAATTGTTCAACTCCATTTAATTGATGTTTTTTTCCTTTAAATTTATTTTGTGTTTCCATTGTTGTCTTATTTCATGTTTCACTTGAGAAGTTGGAGTATTTCCTTGTAACTTCTATTATCTGCACTTCTTATGGTCCAATGCTAATCAATTTGTTTCTCACGTAACTTTTAGTGTCTATATGTCATAACCCCTTTGCTCATCTAGGGGGTGTAAATGTGTATTTAGAGTCCGATTTTTAGAACTTATTGTCCTTGGGAATAAATTATCTCGTCTCGTTTTTGCATATTTCCTATCTGAAAGAACTCCTCAGTCATTATGTTGTAGCCAATACAGCTTTCATTACAGACTTACCTGTAGATAATACTTGATGGAAAATTTAAACTCATGGAGCTTTTTATGCCGTCAAACTGAAAGTCCCAGTTTATTTCGTCCTCCTTATTTCTTTCCTACACCTCCTTATTTCTTCCTCCTGTTTTTGGTTATACATATATTTTCACAAATAAACTGCCCAAGGCTCATTATTGTAGATGTTTCTTGACAATAATTGGGATACATTCTAAATTATTCATTTTTTTTTTTCACTCATGCAGATTGTGACAGTGGGTGATTTGAAACCAGCGCCAATACTTTGGCATGAGGATACTGGAAAGAAACCATTTGACAACATAAGGTATTATTATTTATTTGAATCTAACACATTTCAAGTGTAGATGAATTCACATTACTGGATAATCCAACGCTTCTCAATCATGCCTAAATTACCAAAATGTCCACTTTCAAAAAGAACCAGTCATCTAGTTAAATCATAAATACACCTGCCTCTAAGGGTGTATTTTTCTTTGCAACTTACCATTATGAGTTATTATATACCTTTCTTAAAAGTGGAAATCTCTTTCTACAGGCATAATAATAATAACCGACATGGCAAATCATCCGGCCGACACTTTGCGAACCCCAACAGGAACAAACCTCCGAATCGAGCCACGCCTGGGCAGATTCCAACCGGCACAAGTACAACTACCCGAATGCCGCACATCGCCTCGTTCTTAACAGCTTACAATCGAGAGCAGACAAAAACGGAGCCCATTATCATCCTTACCAAACAAATCATGGTCAATCTGGCAACCAGTTCTTGACTCGGTATGTGGTGTTTATTTTTGTATTCTAACAAGTTTTTCGAGTCGGATTTTTTCAGAGGTTTTAATGGTTGTATGCCGTATGTATACTGAACAATTGTTTTCACGCCGGAGATTGAGAGCTGGGGTTATGGCAAAACAGTGGAGCGGCTGATGGGAAAGGACCGTTTTGCCCCCAGGTTTTCGTTTTTTTATAATTCTTTTATATTAGTAGTTTGAATTTGATTTGTATCCTTCCCGTTGCATCATGTTTATATATATAAATGGTAGTGAATACAAATTTTGGTCTGTCCAAACTTGGGTTCTTACTTGTGATTTGCTTCCCGTTGTCATCTAGCTAATTACACAAGCTTGCCATGAGGCTAAGCTTTCGCATCTGGTGGTGAAAGTTTTAGTATGCTTGTTTGATAATGCTACAGTTTATAATTTCAATTCCATGCTAATATTTAAGTGGTGAAAGTTTTAGTATGCTTGTTTGATAATGCTACAGTTTATAATTTCTATTCCCTGCTAATATTTAAGTTTGACGAGTTTAGTAATAGTTTTACTAAGGATGAATCATTTACTCAGTTAGAAGTTAGAACTATCAAGTATATTATTATTATTTTTTTACTATTAGTAGTTTAGAATTATTATGATTATTGTTATTTGTTTCTATTTTTTGACTTTTGCTTTTCCTTTTCCTTTTTAGCCGTTTGTCACTTTCGTGGATGGAAAAAGTTAATCAAGAGATATTTTCAATATCATCATTATTAATGAACTAGACTAGGGGAGCCGGTTTGGTAGAACTTAGAAGCGGCTTATTTGGATTAAAGAAAGTTTTTGACTAAAAACCCTATGAACTCGACGGTGCCGAAACATATCCAATCGGACGACTTGAAAACCAATACCCCTGACCGGCGTGAGTCGGGGGTCACTACTCCCCAAGGTGTCGGCTCTTCGTTGTCAGAGATTGCGCGTGTTAAAAAAATACTTATGAGTTATCCCACATCGTTTATATATGAAAAATAGACCTACCTTATAAGTCTAATGCGCTATTCCTCCTTCAACCAATTGGTTTTGGGATGGAACTCCACTTGGGCTTCATCTGGGATTTCCCTATTGTTGCGCGCTTCATTTGCGTGGGATCGCACCCGTTTTCCCCCCGTATTTTACATGATATCAGAGCCGGTTCTATGTGGGATCGTGCGATAACGTATCCATTTTTCCTCACGTACTCGTTTATGGGAGCCTGTTTCTAGTAGGGCTTAGGGCACCCAGCTCTGTATATGGGCTTGAGCATCTTATTAAGAACTCACAAGTGAGGGGCGTGTTAGAATATTTATTTGCTGCATTTCGTGGGATGACAACATGAATTTTAGCACAGAGACCATCAGTATCAATAAAAATAATTCAATCAAATATTTCCGCCAAAAACCATGATTAAACCCACCTGCCCAAGGGCCCATCCAAAATGGAAATTCCAACTAAATTGAAAATCCCAAAAAATATGATGGAGAGATGCCAGAAAACCATTCTTAAGATCTCATCTTCGTCTGCATCCTGAATACCGTCGTTGATAGGCTCCTCTGTGCCCATGAGATCGTACATTTTTTTTTTTTTTTTTTTTTTNCTCGTTACTCAGGCATTGAAATGCCTTAGAGACTAGGACAAAGGCTTCCTCAAGCACCCGGTGCTTGATTCTTGTCCGGTGGACTTTTAGAGAAACTTTTTTATACGCCTTGCGAATTGCTTTGACGGTAAAATTTCTTTGTATCCTCAATATATCATTATAATTCTGCTTCCTCCGAATTTCTCTCACGAGAGCAACATGCTCCTCCGTATAGTCGGTGTAGAAGAGGAGCAGGTTGCTTTCGTGAGAGAAATTCAGAGGAAGAGGGATTATTATGATATATTGGGATACAAAGGAGCTCTACTGTCAAAACAATTCGCAAGGCGTACAAAAAGTATATATGAAAGTCCATCCGGACATGAATCAAGCAACGGGTGCCCAGAAGCCTTTGTCCTAGTCTCTACTGCATTTCAATGCCTGAGTAACGAGAAAAAAGAAAAAGGTATGATCTCTTGGGCATAGAGAAGCCTGTCAACGACGATATTAAGGATGCAGACGAAGATGAGATCTTAAGAATGATTTTCTGGCATCTCTCCACCATTTTTTTGGGATTTTCAATTTATTTTGGATTTCCATTTTGGCTGGGCCCTAGGGCAGGTAGATTTAATCAGGATTTTTGGCGGAGATATTTGATTGGGTTATTTTTAGTGATAATGGTGGTCTTTGTGCTAAAATTCATGCTGCCATCCTACTCAATGTAGCAAGTGAATATTCTAATGTGAGTTCTTAATAAGAAGCCCAAGCCCTTATACAGAGCTGGGTGCTCCAAGCCCTACTAGAAACAGACTCCCATAAACGGGTATGTGAGCCCAAGCTCTATATATGGGCTTGGGCTTGGACTTTTTATTAAGAACTGACAAGTGAAGGGGCGTGTTAGAATATCACTTGTGAGTTGTCCCACATCGTTTATGCATGGAAAATATATCAACCTTACAAGTCTAATGGGCTACTCCTTTCACTAATTGGTTTTGGGATGGAACTCCACTTGGGATTCATCTGGCTTTTCCTGTCATTGTGCGTTTCATCTGCGTGGGATCACACCCGTTTTTCTCCCGTTTCTTACATGATATCCGAGCCGGATTTATGTGGGACCGTGCGATGACGTACTCGTTTTTTCCCACATACCTATTTATAGGAGACTGTTTCTAGTTGGGCTTGGGGCACCCAGTTCTGTATATGGGCTTGGGCTTCTTATTAAGAACTCACAAATGGGAGCGTATTAGAATATTCACTTGCGGTGGGATGACAACATGAATTTTAGCACAAAGACCACCAGTATCACTAAAAATAACTCAATCAAATATCTCCGCCAAAAACCCTGATTAAATCCATCTGCCCTAGGGCCCAGCCAAAATGAAAATCCAAAATAAATTGGAAATTCTAAAAAAATGGTGGGGAAATGACAGAAAACCATTCTTAAGATCTCATCTTCGTTTACATCCTAAATATCGTCGTTGACAGGCTCCTCTGTGCCTAAGAGGTCATACCTTTTTTTTTCGTTACTCAGGCATTGAAATGCTTTAGAGATTGGGACAAAGGACCCGGTGCTTGATTCTTGTCCGGATGGATTTTCAGAGAAACTTTTTTATACGCCTTGCAAATTCCTTGACGGTAGAGCTCCGTTGTATCCCTAATATATCATAATAATACATCTTCCTCCGAATTTCTCTCACGAGAGCAACCTGCTCCGTCAAAGCAATTCGCAAGGCGTATAAAAAAGTTTCTCTGGAAGTCCACCGGACAAGAATCAAGCACCGGGTGCCCAGGAAGCCTTTGTCCTAATCTTTAAGGCATTTCAACTGGAAATCCACCGGACAAGAATCAAGCACCGGGTGCCCAGGAAGCCTTTGTCCTAATCTCTAAGGCATTTCAATGCCTGAGTAACGAGAAAAAAAGAAAAAAGTACGATGTCTTGGGCACAGACGTTGACAGTATTCAGGATGTAGACGAAGATGAGATCTTAAAAATGGTTTTCTGGCATCTCTTCACCATTTTTTTGGGATTTCTAATTTATTTGGGATTTCCATTTGGCTGGGCCCTGGGGAAGGTGGATTTAATCAGGGTTTTTGGCGAAAATATTTGATTGAGTTATTTTTAGTGATACTGGTGGTCTCTGTGCTAAAATTCATGCTGCCATCCTACCCAATGCAGCAAATGAATATTCTAATACGCCCCCACTTGTAAGTTCTTAATAAGAAGTCCAGGGCTGGGTGCTCCAAGCCCTACTAGAAACAGACTCCCATAAACGGGTACATGGGCCCAAGCTCTGTATATGGGCTTGGGTTTTTTATTAAGAACTCAAAGTGAGGGGGCGTGTTAGAACATCACTTGTGCGTTTCATCGATCGCACCCGATTTCCCCCGGTTTCTTACAGCGCGGTCGTTGAAAGGTCGCGACCCCTAGAAGCTTCTGGAGGGGGTGATGAGGGGACGGGAATGGTGGGGCCAATGATGTTGACGACGCTGGGGGCCCAAGCTTTAGGGATTTGCTCAATCGGGGTCGTCCTAATGTGGAGATGGTCTACGATGAGGATGGTGAGGGAGGGATGGATGATGATGTGGTTGTCGATCGTCAAGGGCCACTTCCGGATATTTGCTTCAAGGACAACTTTTACGATACGCTACTGCAATTCTGGAGGCGTGTGGTGGTGGTTAAGGTGATGGGGGTGGTGCTCACTCCTCAAATACTATATAGTAAGTTGTGCTTCTTATGGCCTTTTATGAGCGCATGTGACATGATCGACTTGGAGAACGGTTACTTTCAAATTCGTTTTAACAGACAGGATGATGCCGAGCGGGTGCTTGTCGGAGGCCCGTGGATTGTTTCGAAACAATAATAGAAATTCTACATTCATGTTCAACCTTGGAGCGAGGAGTTTGATGCATCTTGTATCAGATAAAGTTGTTAGTGGCATGGATTCGCCTTCCCAGTGCATTTGTACCATAACAAGGTATTCCGGACGATTGGGGAGATAGTTGGTAAAGTGGTTATGATTGATCATCAGACCGCCTCTCAAGCGAGGGGACGGTATGCCCGTCTTGCGGTGGTGTTGGACTTAAATAAGCCTCTGTGCGCTAGCTTTACAATTCGGGGGAAGGTCCAGCGGGTGGAATACTTCGTCCCGAACATTTGCTTCAACTGTGGCATCTATGGTCATTCTCCAACGGCTTGTCTTGAATGTTCCAACTCTAATTTGGGTGATGGCAATCCAAAGGAAGGTGGGGGCAGTCGTGCACCGGCTCGGGCTGTAAGAGATGGAGGGGATGTGCCGATGGCGGGGGTGGCGAAACACTCTGGACCAGATACTGGTAGTCCACACACTGGGGGAGAAGGCTATGGCGTATACGGACCATGGCTAGTTGCGAAAACTAATTGTAGGCAGGCTACTTGGCAGAAACAAGGGGGTTCTTTTCAGGATAAGCCACGGAATGGGACGAAGGAAGGGTCAGGCTCGAGGTTTGGTGTTCTAAGGGAGGAGAACGAAGAGACTGCCGTCTCGTGCTGCTTTGGACTCCCGGGCGGATCTTGGGGACAGTAAGAGTCCTACGGTTTTTTCGAAAGGGTCCTTTGAGAAGAGAAATAATAATAAAGGGAAAGCAGTTGATAGGCGGGCGTCGTCGGGAACAACTATGAATGGCATTGGGAAGGTTAATAATAGACCTGGTCGGACAGTCCAGGGGGATAAGTTGGGGGTTCGTCCTAATTTTCGGAGTAGATCTGACAACCTGACACCTTTTTAAATTTTAAATTTCAAAATTTGAATTATGAGACGCGTCGCTTCAATCTCCGCTCTTCGTATTTTGTGTTTCATCTGAACCATTAGAACCTTCTTCAATCCAAGGGTTGATATTTCATGGTTTTCCCTATAAATACCCTTTCTTTTTCTCCTGCATCACTTTTCGGGAACTCTCACAAATTCTCCGAAAACTTCTGGCAATCCGAGTGTTCTTATTACTCCCTGGTGATCTTTGCAGTTCTCCAAAAACCCTTCAAGATAGATCATGTGTAAGTATATATTCCTTCAATTTTCTGCGAGATTTTCTGTTTTCTGGGTTTTTTGCACTTAGTCTTCATAAGTGTTCTTAATGAGGCTTCATATTTTTCCATATGTTTGTTGGCAAACTTAGTTTCGATCTTCAACACTTGGAACTTTGTTTCTATTGCGTGTTTTTGACAAGCCGACTTAGGATTTTATGTCGACTTTTAATATAATTCATGGGTCAACCTATGTCGACTTGATACTCATGTTTTGTTGAATCGACTTGGTATCTCAAGTCGAGTTGCTTCGGATATTTCGCGAATCGACTTCTTTAGTCGATTCAAGTTGGTTTTTGTTCAACGATCGTTCTCTCCTAGTCCTTCACTTGTTTGAATAGGTTTTTCCTTCGAATTGTTGATCTTTCTCGACTCCCTTTTGACGATTTTTGCAAGTCGACTTATTCCCGAAGTTCTTAAATTGTGCTAGAAATAGGCGAGACAAGTAGAGGACATTCCCCCTTGTTTTTTACCACGACTTCTAACTACTCGTGGATAGTCTATTCTCGACGTACTGATTTCGATTTTTCGTGTTCGCTAGATTCCAATTCTTCTTCCGGCTCTCTCGCTCATCAGATTGATGAGAACTCAAGCTCTGACTCTGTTCAAATAATCAGCTTTGGGCCGACGGTCGAGTAAGAGAACTCTATTCACAACTCGGACGTATCCTCTTTTGGAGTCGATTGGAATGAATATAATCAAGCACTGCTGTCGGGTTAAATTTTCGCAATTCTCCTCAAGTCGAGAGTCCTCCTCGTCTAAGTCTCATACCTCGCGGTATTCCGATTTTAGATGTTCTTGTATATAGAACAAGTTCTGGACCTTTACCAATAATTGCCTCTTGTCGAGCCTCAAAGTGTTGTATCAATAGCATGTCCATTAGTTAAGGTAGTTGTTCTAAATCCATTTTCTTATGCCCCTGCAGCCGAAATCGAGGACTTAGATCGTTCAGTGGGCTTCCTTCCGATTGGGAGTTAATCGCTCCTCGTCCCAATGACGACTTTGCTCACCCTCCTCGTGGCTGTTACACCTTTTTTATAGACCAAATAATGTTCGGCCTTCGCTTTCCTATCCAGCATGATCTTTTGTCCATTAGCAATTTGTACAATGTACCAATAAACCAATTTTCACCCAATGCGATTCGCATAATGATAGCGTTCATCATTGTTTCCAAAATAAAACTTGGTAGTTTCTTGCCCGAGTTCCTCTTCTACTGTTATGGTTATAGGTTCGTAAAAGATGCCCATTGTTTGGGTCGTCGTTCTGGTGTCACTTTTCTTGACGACCTCTCTTCGAACGTCACCGAGTGGAAGTCGACTTCTTTATTCGTCCTGATCCTTTTACAAACACTTACATAATTAGTAAGGTGAAACAACGCAAACGACCTCGATCCGACCAGTTTGCGGCCATGCTGGACGAGCTAAATAAGTATATTTGGAGTGCTCGTCAGTTGATTAGGGATCTCAACCAATGTGGTATCTGCGTCGATAAGGCTGTATATTTGATATACAGCCTTATATTTGAATATAAGGCTGTATATTTGATATACAGCCTTATATTCAAAAATTGTTCTTGTTTCTCCATTCCTATCATTTGTTAAGATGGTTTTCTTCATCTCGACTTTGCGTTATGATTACTCTTCTTTCCCGTTGTAGATAAGGTCCTTCAATGCTTTGAGACAAAAAAGTAAAAGCCGGAGGATAAGTCGGCAAATCGACCCATTCCCCCGAAGAAGCCCGATGGCTGGTCGGGCTCGAGTAACAAGGAGGTGGTGGTAGAGAAAACCGCCGCCCAAAAGTAAAGGGTTGAGAATCCCTCTGCTTAGCAGCAGCAGCATAAATTGTCGGGCTCTCATTTCCGCAAGTGAGCCCAGGACCAACGGGACGTGGTCTTGGTGCCCGAGGCGCTCGAGCGCCAAAAGAGCAAGGGCAAGGAGAAGGAGAAGGACGTCGAGGAGCGTTCTCCTATCAGGGTGCGTCCTGTCACCCTCGAACAGCCGTCGCTCTTCCACGACAACCCCGACTCCCATGAGGTCCTCGAGTACCTCCACTCGGCTCTCCCTGAAGCCGACAGATCTCGTATCGATGCTAACCCTTACAACCGGGCTCGCTATGCTGCTCGACTCTTGCCGAGGGTAAGACTTGTTAATGTTTGTTTTTTCATCATCATCATTCATTTTTTTTATTGTCTAGACTTGACTCTACTAATTCCTTATCGTTTCTGACAGCTCTTCACTTGCATTCTTCCTTCAATGATTGAAGAAACTGCTTCCCCCTATTCCAATCTTAAAGCCATGGGGAGAAGTACGCGGTGACATGCAAGGAGCTCGACGATAAGGAGGAGGAGCTCGAAGCTACGAGGGCCGTCATTGACAAGCTGAAGGCCGACAAGTCGATGGCCTCTCAGAAGCTCGAGAAGCTGAGGGTCGACCTTTCCAAAGCTAACTACGAGCTCTTGGCTGAGAGGATCCTCGAGGAGCGCAGGACGTTTCTCAAGTCTCCGACAGGTTCTGTGTTCCTTGAGCACTACCGTCAAGAAGAGTGGTGCTTCTATTTTTGTTATGTTAAGTTTCAGAGCAAAGCAAACTACAAATGGCTTTTGAAATACGTTCCAATGAAGATGCAATCCGTGCCCTAGATTTCGCCACAGTGATCTACTCGCGCCGTCTTAACGTAACTGTGGACTAAAATTCGTCCAAGGCTGGTTCTCACAAACATTTTATGAAGTCTCGTCGATCCTCAGAGAATATCTTCATGGTTGGTCTGGATGTGGATCGCTCACGCCCCAACTTTTATGAAGCGAGTGGTATGCTGCTGATTTCTGGAGTTGGTCTCCTGTATGTTAGTGACTTTGAGAACCTTAATGGCTGGCTCAAAGTTATCTCCGTCACTGTAGCAGGAGTTAATCTAGTTGTCAAAAAGGTTCATGAGCTGGAAGAGGGGCAACACTGGCGCAATAGGTTCGAGGTTATACAGTCTTTTCAACCAGACCGCGGCCTTCAGGGGAGTGATGAGTCTCATCGATCCTGCTATGGCTACCATCAGTCGGGCAATTTTGCGCAGGAATGAGAATATCTAAATATATCTTTATCTTGCTACTTCCTAGTAATTGGATTTTAGGGGTTACACAGACTTGGTTTATTGTATTTCTTTCAATTCAATTTGATATAACATATAGAATAGCTCGGATGAACCGGCTATAGTTAGCTAGGTTGAGCCGTCCCTCATGTACCTCGGGTGAATTGATGTTGGTAACTTGGACATGATGATGACCTCTTGGTAGCTCGGTCATGATGATGACATATTGGTAACTCGGGTATGGTGATGACCTAAGGACAAATAGGGAGATGGTGATATAGCATATAAGAACGGCTCGGTAAAACTGGACAAGACTAGCTCGGCCTATTGACCGGAGTTAGTTGGGACGATGGGTTTAAAAGACAGCTCATCCATATAAGTAGCGCAGACCTCGAGAAACTCGTGTGGTAGCCTTAGTGTAGCAGAGCTTGGTACCTGAGTAGCTAGACTGTGGGTGGGACTTGGAAGTGTTGGGAGCTCATCACAGTAGTAGCTAGGCTGTGGCTGGGCTTGGGAGTGTTTGAAGCTCGACACAATAGGAGCTCAATGTAGTAAGAGCTCGGCACAGCAGTAGCTCGTCGTAATGGTAGCTAAGCTATCGGTGGGACCTAGAAATAGCAGGAGCTTGAAGTAGCTCGGTATAGTGTAGCAAGCGAGATTCTATAAAGAAACACCGACCTGTGATGATGCTTTACAAGCTAGGAGCCGACCTGTTGAGGCGGTTAGGGAGGATGGTCCATGAGGGACACGTGTAGAGCCAGGATAAAAAAGGAATAAATGATCCGACGGAGGAAGAACAAAGCGTACTGAGGAAGCTAGTAACTCCATATAAATAGGTAAAATGGGGAAGAAGGTAAGGTTAATCACTCTATATACCTTAAACATTTCATACAGTTATACACAAGTTTTCAGCATCTTTACTGACTTGATTGTCGGAGGTTTAACTCCGGGAACACCTCCCGGCGTCTTTGCAGGTCTCTGGGGAGCAAGGCGGTTTAGGAGCATTGGAAGGCCGGTTCGAGGTGCGAGAGCACATCACCTCTTGCTCATCACAACTTAATAGAAAATTTGGTTTATCTATTTAATTTCTTGCAGGTGTTGAAATACACGGAAGGGTTATGCTGGGTTATGCACTACTACTATGAAGGAGTCTGTTCCGGGCAATGGAAAGTTTTTCTCTTATGAGTTTGATTGCAATTTATTTCTTATTGAGAACAGACAACAAAAGGAGTTAACTTGCTATATTGTCAGTTTTTTGGTCCCCCAATAGGTTTTTCTTTATCAATGTCCTTTCCCGAAATGTGTGCTGGAGTAACTAATTATTGAATAAGCATCTTATGTTTTAAAGTAAAGTCCGACTGCTAAATTTATCAACTGCTAAAGCTTATTGAGTCACTTCACTGCATTTGTTATTTTTCCCAATTGTTCTTGATCCCTTGCTGATATTCCCATTTCCATATAAGTAGTTATGAAAGAAAATTTTTATATCCGGCCTTTATCCCAAGTTGGTCTTTTGGCAATGAGGCTACCCAGCTATATTTAGTCAGCGTCTATCATTCCAGTTGACTTGTATATCCCCAAAGTTTATTCATGTGGCTAAGCACTATTTGTGGCTTTTGATGTTCAAGGATCAGTAGTGTACTGTACCTGCAACCTGTTTCTTTATGTTCTAAGACTGTTAGGTTGATGATCTGAATGCATGACTTGAGTTTGAAAGTGTCACATTCTGATGAAATCTTTGCCGTCAGTATATTTAGTCTTCCTTTCCAAAGTCCATATATTTTTGCATCAGTCAGCAGATTTGCTTTTGTGATATGTTGTTTTGATTAGTCATCTTGCCTTTAATATAGACCTGACAACATATTTCGCAGTCTTACCATTTGCTTCAGACCTTAAGGATCTTGGACAGCTGGACATAAGATTTGAATTAGGAAACCCCATTTAAGCCTTTCAATCAGCTGCTGGGGGTTTTCCCTGCTGCGAGGTTGGTTTGATTTTTCTTGTTTCGTTTGTGAACTTATACGACTTTTTGGTTCTCTAACTTGTGTTTATGTGCAGTTCTCATGCATTGCCTGAACAGTACAGGAAATTGATGACTGATGCAACTTCACCTATAATTGGTTTTTATCCTACTGGTATGATTAGATGCTTTTTCACCAGTGATGGTATTTGTTAGTGTCACACGAAAGTTGTTCGGGAGATCTTTCTCCACAGATCACCTATTTTAGGGATAGAAGACATTATGAACAACCAAGTCATGTAAGATCACCTAATTAATGGTGTGTGCCGTATGTATACTGAAAAATTGTTTTAACGCCGGAGATTGAGAGCTGGGATTATGGCGAAACAGTGGAGCGGCTGATGGGAAAGGACCGTTTTGCCCCCCAGGTTTTCGTTTTATAGTTTGAATTTGATTTGTATCCTTCCCGTTGTATAATGTTTATATATATATATATATATACATGGTAGTGAATGCAAATTTTGGTGTGCCCAAACTTGGGTTTTTACTTGTGATTTGCTTCCCGTTGTCATATAGCTAACTATACAAGCTTGCCATGAGGCTAAGCTTTCGCATCTGGTGGTGAAAGTTTTAGTATGGGTCGTGGTACTTTAATGGGAATGCTTATATTTGATAATGCTACAGTTTATAATTTCAATTCCCTGCTAATATTTAAGTTTGACGAGTTTATAGTTTTACTAAGGATGAATCATTTACTCAGTTAGAAGTTAGAACTATCAAGTATATTAGTATTACTATTTTTACTATTAGTAGTATAGAATTATCATGATTATTGTTACTTGTTTTTATTTTTTGCCTTTTGCTTTTCCTTCTCCTTTTCCTTTTTAGCCGTTTGTCACTTTCCTGGATGGAAAAAGTTTAATCAAGAGATATTTTCAATATCATCATTATTAATGAACTAGGCTAGGGGAGCCGGTTTGGTAGAATTTAGAAGCGGCTTATTTGGATTAAAGAAAATTTTCGACTTGTGGTGTAACAACGGTACACTTTGGCCTTGTTTGGTAATCAGTTGTTAATGGATTGTGATAACTGTTTTGATCGGCGGATTGTGTTAACTGTTTTGACCAATGGTTAGCTTTGGCGGTTCCGCAAAATGTTGTTTGGTAAAATTAACTAGCGGATTTGAAAAATTATATGGGGCATTATTAATTTGATAAAATAATTTATATAAATGATTATAAAAAATAAATTTGATAGTAATTTTAATTAAGTTTTCGTATTTATAAAAAAGAACATAAAAAATAACTAATTAAAGTATTAAAGGTAGCAAATGTAAATTGTATTAAATATTAAATTGATGTTTGAACAAAAAATTTAAAGTTAACCTATGAAAGAAAAAGCTGTTGGATTAAGGCAATAACAAGTTGAAGAAAAAAGTTTTAACAACACATCCGTATAATTGAGCCAATAAATATTTAATTGGTAAGCCAATGAAAAAGCTAGTAGAAAACGCTCACATGCTTGGTTATAATTTTTTTTTATTTGATTAGATTTTTCTGGTTTGGTTTGGTTAATTTTAAAAAAAAATGTAGTGTGGTTAGTTGTTAGTGGGTATATTAAAATAATATTTAAAATAAAATAATTAAAGTTGATTTGATGTAAAAGTAGGAGAGTGATGATTTGAAGTGATGGTTAGTTAAAATTATGTGAGTAGATGAATAGTGAATTAAAGTTGATATGATGTGTAAGAATAATTGATTGATATTATTTAATTATATTGATGATAGTGAGGTTGAGTTAAAGTTGAGTTAAAAAAAAAATAGTTGAGTTAAAAATATTGAGTTAGATTTGTATCCAAACATCCTAGTGCATGTTTGTTTATAGAAACTTTTAGTTGTTTTGGATTTTTTGTTTGATTTGGTTAATTTTTCAAATGTGGTATAATTAGTTGTCAGTAGATATATTAAAATAATATTTAAAATAAAATAATTAAAATTGATTTGATGTAAAAGTAAAAGAGAGATGATTTGAAGGAAAAAACTAGTCAACCAAACAACAATTTAGCATATTTTAGCGTTTCAGATTTGGTCAACACCGCTAAAATAGTTGTTTGGCCCAAAAGGCCAAAAAACAAACAAGCCCATTCTGTTATATTTTACTAATCAATTAACACAAAATCTTTCAAAACCTTGGAGATACGAGAGTAATATTTGAACTAATCAGTGCATCATTATAAAAGGTGAGATATAACAGTTAAATTACAAGCTCTCGTGATACATATAAAATTTTAATTGTTATNTGGGATTACTTATGAACTAGCTAGTCGATATTTTTGGTAGCATAAGGTGACGTCTTATGCAATATTTCTAACCTTATCCGGCCAATAGCAACGACTCCCTTTAAATCATACACTTTGACGGAAAGCAACTTCTGCATGTTGACTATAATATAATTATAATTTGGGGAATAATAATAATAATCATAATAATGAGGGTATTAGTGGCATACATTGATTTCAAGAATTTAGGTACTGAGCAATTTTGCTGTTGATAATGTCACCTAACTTAACATAGTACTGTTGTGAAAGAAACATCAAACTAACCAATGTGTCAATTTAATGTAAGAATTATTTCAACACTTGTGGGCATGCATGTTGGATTTCATTACACTTTTCTTCTCTTATTTAATCTCATCAATGTCTCTGTATCTCCAGCACAAAAGAAAATAAAAGTTAAATAAATAGGAAGAAAATAAAATGGGATATACAGTATGAGAATCTCGTGCGATGCACGGGTTTCTGTACTTTAAAACTTTTTTTTTTAACTTTATTTTCACAATATATTAGCATGCTGACCTGTTTATATTATTATAAATAATATTTTAACATATATATTTATTTTTTAATACAAAATAATAATAATTTTACATATTTTGGTTCATCATAATACTCAATTATTAATCTATCAAAAAATCTATTATCATATAATGTCATTATTATTTATAACACTTGTAGAAGTAATATATTTGTTATATAATGATAAATATGTAATGTATATTAATATTATTTATTGATGTAATTAATTTAAAAAGATATAAGCAAATTTAATGTTTGATAGGAATGTGATTATATGTAAGTTGAGATAAAATGAAATGTATCAAAAAAATCTGCTTATGATATTTTCCTTTAAATGTTTGAATGAACTTGAAATTTAAATTACAAATCAACCTTCAGTTATTCAAATAATTTTAAAAAAGTTACCAATTATAATAAAATGTACGTGACAATATATTATAAATATACATGACGTTAGTAATGTTATGAATCTTTAGGTTCCTAAAATATATGTTGTTTAGATATGAAACTAATTAACTTATATGTCAAGATAATATATATAAATATATGTATTGTACGAAATATACACGTGACAAGTTATTATATTTGTTTATATATTGTTTGTATTGTTTATTATATTTGTATATAAATATATTGTTTATATATTTGTCTGTATTGTACGAAAAATTGTTATATTTGTTTATATATTGTTTAGATATGAAACTAATTAACTTATATGTTAAGATAACATATAAAAATATGTATTGTATGTAATCTTAAACGTGTTTGCTAAATTTTTCCCCTAAAAAATTCAAAATACATTTAGGCATGTTTTGTTTGAAGTTTGAAATTTAAATATGCATCTATATAACAAATCCCACGATTTATGCTAGGATTAAATGCTACTTGTTTTTTTATTAAAAAAATAAAAAAAATACCAAAAATAGAATGCAATTAATATTTTTTTTTTTCTTACTATTTTTGAAAAATGTTAATTCTTATTATATATATATAGAT